CCGGACCCTCTGCTGCCAGAACAGACAGGGAAGCATCTCCCGGAGGCTGCCTGCTCAGCTCTGCTCTTGGAAGATTGGAGGGCAAAGCGGGGTGGTCGGGCCCAGCAGGAATCATGGAAAGGAGGGGAACTAGCTATTAGAAGCACCTCCTGTGCTCCAGAAATTTTGCCGAGTAGCCTTCAACACAGCTCCATTAGATCGATAGTATTTTTGCCCCATGTTATAGTATAAGAAACTTGAGTTCAGAGAGGGGAGGCAACTTGAATCAGGCCAGAAAGCACTTAAGCCCAAACATAACAGGCCCCTGTGTCTCTTATCATTTCTCTTCTGTCCTCTGACCTCCCAGACACTGTCTGCTCCTCATGGCCTGTTAAAGTCAGGAATCCCCAAATCAGCCGCTTAGCTGGACGTCCAGGTAGTCTGCCGTCCTCCTCAGGGCTCCCTCGCCCACACAGCAGATGGGCATCTTTCATCCGGCAGCTATTTTTGTTTCCCTTTGCCCGTTCTTCTCACCCTCCTGGCTCAGTCCAAGCAGGGGAGCAGGAGTCAGAGCCAGAAGCCAGAACAAGGCTCTCAGCCCATCTCTTCCTCCAAGTGCAGGCAGGAGAGGAGACAGTGGGGTTTCTACCGATGCTGAGTGCCAAGGAGGGGTCATCAGGAAAGCCAGCAGATGGGGGGTCTTGGTCCCTGGCCTGGCCCAAGTGCAGGGTGAGCCCTCTCCAAACTTTCCTCTCTGATCTCCAGTTCCCCAGGAAAAGTGCTGGCATCCACAGCCCTTGCCAGGATTATGGGGAAGGCGGGGTTGGGGAAGCACACACCCTTAGAGGCCATTCTCATTCTGTGGGATGGCCTTTCCTCTCCAGGCCACAAGTAGACCTGAGGCTCAGCCTGGTTTGGGCACTATGTCCCTCTTTGAGATCAGTTCTTGGGAGGTAGTTTGCAGTCATTGGAAGGGCTCAGGATTAGGAGTCAGAAGACTTATCTGTTCCCAGTTCTGCCACCAACAAGCAAGGTGGGTTGAAAGAGGACACTTTGCGGCCGGGCGCGGTGGCTCAAGCCTGTAATCTCAGCACTTTGGGAGGCCGAGGCGGGTGGATCACGAGGTCAAGAGATCGAGACCATCCTGGTCAACATGGTGAAACCCTGTCTCTACTAAAAATACAAAAAAATTAGCTGGGCATGGTGGCACGTGCCTGTAATCCCAGCTACTCAGGAGGCTGAGGCAGGAGAATTGCCTGAACCCAGGAGGCGGAGGTTGCGGTGAGCCGAGATTGCGCCATTGCACTCCAGCCTGGGTAACAAGAGTGAAACTCTGTCTCACAAAAAAAAAAAAGAGGACACTTTGCCTTCCTTTCTGGGCTTCAATTTCCTCTTCTGTAGTAATTGGACCAACTAGTCCACTCAAATTCTCTAAATTCCTTCTCTGAGCATTTTTTTTTTTTTTTTGAGACGGAGTTTCACTCTTGTTACCCAGGCTGGAGTGCAATGGCGCCATCTCGGCTCACCGCAACCTCCGCCTCCTGGGTTCAGGCAATTCTCCTGCCTCAGCCTCCTGAATAGCTGGGATTACAGGCACACGCCACCATGCCCAGCTAATTTTTTGTATTTTTAGTAGATACGGGGTTTCACCATGTTGACCAGGTTGGTCTCGATCTCTCGACCTTGTGATCCATCTGCCTTGGCCTCCCATAGTGCTGGGATTACAGGCTTGAGCCACCACACCCGGCTTCTCTGAGCTTTTGTTGTTTTGTTTTGTTTTGTTTTTGAGACAGAGTTTCGCTCTTGTTACCCAGGCTGGAGTGCAATGGCGCGATCTTGGCTCACCGCAACCTCCGCCTCCTGGGTTCAGGCAATTCTCCTGCCTCAGCCTCCTGAGTAGCTGGAATTACAGGCACGCGCCACCATGCCCACCTGATTTTTTGTATTTTTAGTAGAGACGGGGTTTCACCATGTTGACCAGGATGGTCTCGATCTCTCGACCTCGTGATCCACCCGCGTCGGTCTCCCAAAGTGCTGGGATTACAGGCTTGAGCCACCGCGCCCGGCTTCTCTGAGCTTTTAAATCTATTCCACACCTCCCTGCCCTTGCTGACAATATCTTCCAACCCCGCCAGCCGGAGGTTTTTATCCTCTCCAGACCCTGCCAAAATAGAAAGAGTACAAAGCAGTTGGCTTGTTGGTGTTATAACTTTTTTTCTTTTCAGGCAAGAAGTCGAATTTAAATTGTGCCCCAATCGGCACCAAAGCTGAGACGTTCAGGTCTCCTGTACTATGGCCTGCATAAAAACAGCTCACCTCTCCTTTCTCTCTCTCTCCTTGTTCTGCTCTTTTCCAATCACTCAGTCAAATAATATCTATTAAGTGGATGTGTCTGCAAGGCACTGTGCAGAAATGTAATCCAGAATGACAAGGTCCTTGTCCAAGAGGAACTTATAGTTCCACAAGGATCCAGCACAGACAGGAGCATTAAAGGCAGCTCACTGCCCTCATGCAGCGGGGGGAAAGATAAAGGACTTTTTCATGCCTTTTAATGTTTCAATGTTTCTTTTACCCACTTCAGTTGGTAATTGTATAGTGACATCATGTTTTTGGTGTCCGTCTTCGAGTGGTGAGCCTGTCTTCTGTCTTCTCATCCAGGGAGGAAGTCAAGCTGCTCCAGACATCCGCACTCCACCTCACAGACTCACCACCCATGCTCTCTCCTGCAGGGACCCCAGCTTTGCACCTGGATGGCTCCTGCATCTCTGCAACCCGATGCAAGAGTCTGAACGTGAGGGCTATAACATGCCAGCAGTGTCTATGCAAGCAATCGATGGCACTCGTAGCAGATGGAAGGCATGGGGCAGTGAAGCTGTGCCTTCGTCCTCTCCTGAGGTCCCTGGGCTCCGAGGGGTCTTCACGCTCCGGAGTTCTTTCTCAGAACTCCCTCCTAAGTTTCATAGAGGCTAAATGCTGCTTGCCATATCCCCTCTTCCTTTAGTCTCGATGCCTAAACGCTCCACCTCTGCTCCATAAATAATAGCTTCTCTAGAGCTCTTTCTAATTTACGAAGGGCTTGCATTTATAGTTTCTCATTTAATCTCAACAATCCTGTGGGATAGGGTTATTATTACTCCTTCTTTACAGATAAGAACCTGAAGCTCAAGGAGATTTAGCGAGGGACCCAAAGCCTCACAGCTGGACCCAGCTGAACTAAGCTGGGACTTAACCAAGCTCTTTCGGCTTCTACACGAAATTAGAGGGAGAAATTGCTTCTCCCCACTGAGTTCTCTGCTCCCCTAACATGTCACATCCCCTGCACCTGGTGTTCTGGGAGGCTCACATCTCAAGCTCTGCCCTGGACTCCTTATACTGCACAGGGCCCAGAGCTCCAGACGCAACAAGAGGGGGTTCCACAAAAGAAGGGAGAGGACCTGGAGGTCAGGCAAAGTGGCCCAGACCAGCACTGGAGTCCTCTGTGGTGGGATCGAGAGTTTAAAACATATAGTGTGGTTTCCAGGGTTTCTTAGGGTTGACTATTTTTCCTGGGCAAATACAAAAGAAAAGTTAGGACAATGTCCCAGGAGCTTCAAATAAAAACTAGGAAGCAGCTGGCAGCAGAGGTAAAGCCACAGCAGGGAGACGGAAGTGCAGTCCCCAGCCTGGCTGTGCCGTGGGGCTAGCGGAGCCTGGCTGCGCAGGTAGGGGACAGAAGCTCCGGGAGCCCTCCCTGCAGAGGCGGAGGTGCGTCGGCCCCACAGCTGCCCGAGGGTCCCAGAACAAGGCCCCTCGTGAGTCTGCAGCGGCTGGAGAGCAAGCCTGCCGCTGGTATGTGTGAGGTGGGGGCTGAGCCTACACCCCACCCCCACCCCAGTGTTCATAAGGGAGAAGTGCTCGGGAGCTCCCTGGGGGTTCAGACTAGGGTCCGGAGCTGTGGAGGAGACCTGTGGCCACCCTGCCCCTGGCTACCACAAGCCTACCCTGGCTTCTTTGGCAGTGAGAAGACAAATGCAGATGGGGCTTAGGAGGAGGCAGGTGGGGAGCATAGGGAGGTCAGTGGGTGGGAAAGACAGGAGGGGACTGGGACAGAGGAAAGCCCTGGACCCCAAGGGTGAGGGAAAAGGCAGGCAGGTGACCCGCAGGTGGGAAAGAGAAAGAAGATGAAAGCAGAAAAGAAACCATAAGGCCAGATAACTGGGCAGAGAAAGGAGATGGAGAAGCCACAGGGGCTCTGGGAGTGACATGTGAGTTCACCTGTGAGGGCAAGCACCCCAGTCCTCTCTTCCTGCCATTGGTGGTTGGCATGGAGCTAAAGGCGAGTGGAAGCAGGTGGCAGAAGGTGCCGGACAGCTGCCACTCAGGCCCTCTCCTACCCTCCCCATCCCCACCATCTCTGGACCCTCCCCTGGGGGCTGAGCCCAGGGTCTGCTCTGCTTCTAGAGCCTTCCTGTCCTTCAGTTACCACTTTCTGCATTTCTCCAGGCTCTTTCTGTTCATTCACCTGCCACAGACAAGGGTTGAAAATTCAGAAGCCACGTTTCTGATGCCAGCTCTGTTCCTCAAATGCTGGGCCACACTGGTGGAGTGACTTCTAGTCGGAACACCACATCTGCTTCATTGATACGCCACTCCTAAGAGCTGTAAGGGGATAGTAGAGCAAATGTAAAAGGACTGTAAAGGCACCAAAGGATGAGACCCTTCAGATCCTAAGTTTATTTCCAGGACTGAAGCCCTGGGGTTCCTTTAAGGGGAGACGTCCTGGTCCTGGTCCTTGTCCTTGTCCTTGGGGCTGCCTTGTTTCGAGTCAGAAGAGGAGGTCTTGCAGAATGAGCCGTGCTTGGCTGGAAGGTAAGCGGGTTTACCAACATTCTCTACACAATTAGTACAGAATGTGGTCTGAGGCAGCGTCCTGGATCTAGAGGCTAAGAAGTCTCACGCCTGAAGCAGATCTAGACATTTAACGTGCAGAATAAGCTAGGTGGGTTTTCAAGGAGCTACTTGAATATGCATGAGAGGAAGCAAGACAGAGAGCAGAATGAACATGGGGGAGACGCCGAGAGGCACACAGAGGCCTGACTGATAAGGGCAGAGGAGGAAAGAAGGCCTCCGAGACGGTGGCATGAATGTGGTCGGACAGAGACAGGGAGAAGGATGGGGAGAATTGAGAAGCAGGAAGAAGACTGTGAGAGAAATAAAGAGGCCGAGAGGAGCTGAGCCAGGCAGCCGGTGGAGCAGGCAGATGGAACAACAGAGACAGAGAACAGAGCCACAGAGTGGGCACACAGCACGTCCTGGCAGCCAAGCCCTGTGGGTTTGGTGGGAGCAGATGCTTCTATGGGAGCAGCAGCTGATGGCCCCCAGCACGTGCATCCTTGTTGACTCCAGGCCCAGCACAGCCTCCTCGGCAGCCAGCCTTAGCCTGGAGGAGCAACCCCGGTCCAGAGAGGCAGACGCATGGCAGCCCTGCCCGGCGGAGGCTCCATTCTTCTCCTCCATCCTCCTCCAGGCTCCACCCACCTGCTCCGTCTGCATCCCAGGGCCTCGTGAATCCCAGGGAAGCCATGAGCTGCCACATCACGCCCGGAAGGAAGCAGGCTGCGTTGGAGGGGTGAGTGTGAACCGCTCTTCCTCCGGTGGGAGCATGTGCAGGGGTGTGCACGCTGTGGGAGGGGCAGGAGGGGGAGAAACGCCTGGGCTGCGTGGGAACCAGCGCCAAAAGGCTAGGCCGAGGCGGGGTGGGGACGGACCCTCCGCTGCACCGCTGGCACAGCTGCCGTGCCCAGGCTGCCTGGCTCTGAGCATCCGCAGCCCCTTGCCACCACCCAACCCACCGGACTGCCATAGCCTCCTCTGAGTGGAAAGGATCTGAGTGGACCCTGGTTTGGGGGTCAGAGGAGCCTTGGGGCTTCCTTGACCTCATTCTCTCCGACTGCTACCCACAGGCCATTTCCCATCACTCTACAAGAGTCTGGTGGGAGTGGTGCCCCCATCCCAAGAAGCTCAGAAGGGGCCTGGGTGGAGGGAGGTTTCCACCAGGACCTACCCTTCACCCCAGGCCAAAACAGCTGCCACACTGCCCCCCACATCCCCTCAAGCTCCTCCCCAAAGGGCATCCTCAGAACACTACAGGGACACCCTAACATCAGGCTCCCCAACTGTGCCTGGGACAGTCCTCCCTGGTCCTGCGCCCAAGGTCAGGGGTGCCTACCAGTGGCCCCAAAGTGGACAAGAGCCAAGCCCTGGTAGGAAAGAGGGTAGAGGGGAAGCGGGTGGGGAGTACAGTGTTGATTGCAGGCGCAATCCAAGCAAAAGACAGGCACCACAGGAGCCAGATGGGCCTAGAAGAAACAGAAGTTCAGTAGGAAGAGACGGATAAACAGCAGACACCAAGCAAGCAGCCAAGCATATGCTTTGCAAGCAGGCAACACAAGCACCCAGTAGGGTTTGGGGGATGGGGAGGGTACGTGAGCCCACAGGGAGGGGGACATTAGGTTTGCTGTGGGCTGACTCTGCCTGGTTAGAATCGGTGATCTAATCCTTCTCCATGTAGCCTCAGAAAAATGGAGCTGCAGCTAGCACTGGCAAGGAAAAGCAGCATTTGGCAGGGTGGAAGGAAAGGGTGCTTATGCCAGTGCCCAAGAGACCGGTCTCTAGTAGAAGAAACATTGCCCCAGACTTGGAAGTCTGAATAGCCAGGTACTGTCTCCAAGACTCAGAGCAAGAGACCCCTAAAGCTGAACGGATTCAGAAGAGGAGCAGAGGACTGCCTCCCGCAAACCCGGGGAGTCCTTGAGCCCTGCAGGTGCTGGCTTTCCCTGCTAATGAAGCCCATCTAGGCTGGAGCCCTCAGTCTGGGTGATGTCATCCTTTCTAGCTTCCGGAAGGGAAGGGGTGGAGCCAGGCTAGAGCTTTGCAGAGTTTGCAGGCTCCACCCCCTACTGGTCTGACTTCTGGGCCCTGTCTACCCAGCTCCCTCTTGGCCACAGCTTCCTGGCCAGCCCTGTTGGAAACCTGGAGCTGCTGCAGAGTTCGAGGAGGGAGGGGGTCACCCAGAGTCACCTCTGCAGAGAGCAGGGCCTGGCAGGGGATAGGCTTCACGGAGGCCCTCTTCCATGCATCCATGCTTGTTCCCACGTTCACTTCAGGGAGCCCCGAGGTTTCACGGGAACCCAGGGTCCTGGTACCCCAGCCACAGCCTCTCCCCTACAACCACCATGTCCAGAAATGCTCATCTTCAGTGCCAAGTACCAGTACCAGGTGTCCCAGTGGAATTTTTTCTCTGAATACCACTCTGGGGAGGAGTAAACTGAGGGAGACAAGCACCACTCTGGGTTTGTTCTTGCTGAGCTAAAAGAATAAAGGCTCTGTGCTGAATTGGAGCCTGTTCTAAGCCACAAGGCCAGAGCCAGCCCTCCTGCAGGATGGTGCCTTCACCTCTCACATGCTCGTGCTGGACATAAGCCAGCACTGTGCCAACTGCTGGCCTCCCTCTGACGTTGGCATTGGCCCCAGCTTCCTGCTTCCCCTCCTCCAGGGCTACCCTAACCGGTACCAGCCACCATGGCTTGGAGCATTGAGGTCTCCGGACTAGGCAAAAATGTGGTTTTCCTGTGCCCACCGTAGATGTGAAGGTGCTATTGGGGGTTTCCTGGGTTTCCTCTGGCAGCCCCATTCCTACCCAGGGTAACACAGGTGCAGGAACCAGCCCGGCCCATCTGTGAAACTCACTACACCACAGGGCCTCTTGTTTGGACTCAGCTGCTTGGCACAGCCCCAGTGCCCAGGAGCAGAGAGGAGCTTTCCCAGGTGCAAGCCCTCAGAAGCCTGGGAGCCCAGCCTATGCGTGCCCACGTGCCCGGGGCAGATGCTCCACTCGGTGCCAAGGCCCTCTTAGCCCTCCCCCAGCTGCTGGCTCTGTAGCCATGACACATCTGGGATAGACAAAAGTGAGGATGAGGGTGACACTGGGAGAGGAAAGGAGCAGGTGAGATTTCTACTGGGATTCATGAAGCCCTGGAGCAGGGCCTCAGCAAGACCAGCACTAGGCCTGATTCACAGCAGGAAAACGCTGCCCCCACCTCACCAGCTCCTCATGCGCCCCTAATAGCCGCTGGCCTCATGCGTATGACGCTTTCCGGGCTGCTTTCTCAGATGTTGAATTTTATTCCCATAACATTGCCATAATGGAGATAAGACAGATCATATTTTAATCCATTTTATGAATGAGGAAACTGAGGTAGGATTTCAATATCTATTTCCGGAAGGCCTCACAAGGAATGTGAGGGTATACAAAAATAAATGAGCAAAATAGCGTATTATGAAGCCAGCTAAGCTGACAGCCTGGCTCCCAGAGGCCTCGCATCACACCATCCTTCCCTGCATCACACGGTTTCCCGTGCTCAACTCAGAATGATGAGACACCGTGGTGGCTAAAGGCAGACGTTCTTCCCCAAGGACGGCTGCTGGAGGAAGCAATGAGGAAAGGGGAGTGGGTCACTGTGTGAAGTGGGCTGTGGCCCAGCCTGTGCGCCTGGTACCCGGGCATGGCCTGCATGTGCAGACCGTGTGAAGGCTGCGGTTTCTGTGTGCACATGGCGTGTGTGCATGTCAGGCACAATCATGTAGAATGTGTGTTCTGTTTTTAGGCCTGTACATATGTACATCTATTCTGTGTGTTTATATGGATGTGCTGGGAAAGGGCATGTCGTAAGTTCCAACTGTGTCTGGTAACATGTATAGATGGCGGATCTGCAGGCCTGAAGGACAGAAAAAGAAGATGAGGCCGAGGTGGGTAGATCACGAGGTCAGGAGTTCGAGACCAGCCTGGCCAAGATGGTGAACCCTCGCCTCTACTAAAAATACAAAAATTACCCGGGCGTGGTGGTGGGTGCCTGCAATCCCAGCTACTTCAGAGGCTGAGGCAGAGAATTGCTTGAACCCAGGAGGCGGAGGTTGCAGTGAGCTGAGATGGCGCCACTGCACTCCAGCCTGGGTGACAGAGCAAGACTCCATCAAAGAAAGAGAAAGAGAGAAAGAAGAGAAGATATGAGAAGAGAAAGAAGAACGGAAGAGAAGAGAAAAAATTAAAGAAACGGAAGACGAGGGTGCTTATTCGAAAATGTGTGCATGTTTGCGGGATGACTGTAAGAGAAGAATTATAGCCACGGATTCAGGAATGTGCATGTGAGCATAAGCATGGGTGCGAGTGCAGAAGCGTGGACTGCGTATAGCGATGGGTAAGTGTGTAAAGAACTCGGGCACCAACGATAGAAGGGCGTTTCCTGGGGGTCCCCGCTGAGACGCCAGCTCAGGTGCTTCTGCGCCCTCCTTGCAGTGGGATTCTTACAGGGCCGTCCCACGAGCCTGCTCAGAGCCAGGCAGCCTCGGCCACGCCGGTGCCACCATGCAGCAGCCCCTTCTCCATCCACGGCCCTGCCAATTCCGCAGAGGACCCGGCAGAAACCTCAGTCCCGAGCAGATCAATTGCCGCTAATAACATTTAAATTCTGGCCTGGAGGTGCAGCGGCGGCCCTGGGAAAGAGGAAGGAAAAGGTGGCATGGATTTCAAAGGAGGAACTTGGAGTTAGCAGATCTGATCCCTCGGAGCTGCAGTCTCTAGCCCAGCACCCCGCACCCGCCGCCGAGCCGCAGACCCAATCCTGGGCCCGCCCCTTTGCGTGGAGGCCCCAGGTCGGCCAGAAGGCTTCAGCGTGGGAAGGGGTGGGGATGACAGCAGGGCAGCAGCCCCCGCCTCGCCGCAGACCGGCTGCCTCCTCTCCTCTCCTGCACCCTCCCAACCCGAGAGCCAGGGGAGGGCGCGCAGGGGAGCGGGGACGGTGCAGGACGGGCCTCCGAGCGCGGTGGCCCTCAGCACCCCTTCCCAGACCTGGGCCTGGCACCGCCGCGCGCTCGCACGGAGCAGCCCCACTTCTGTTCCGCGTCTGGATGCTGGGCCGCGCCGCACCCTCCCGGTGGAGGCGAGCCGTACAAAGCAGTCACCGGCCAGCGCCCGGGCAGCTCTGGGCTCCGATCCCGGGCTGGGGAGCTGCGTCCCGGTGCCCCGCCGGCCCCCCTTGCCGCAGGGGGAGGGCGGTCTGCAGGAGCCGGGCGGGGACCGCGCGGGCCGGAGGCGGCTGGGAGCGCTTCCCCGGGCAGGCCGGCGGCCGAGGTTGCACTTTCTCCCCCTTCCCCTCAGCCAAACACGCACCTGTGCAGCAACTTCGAGTTCGAGGCACCGCAGAGCCGGAAGGACCTCGGCGCTGCTGCCTCCGCCCCTCCGGTCCTAAGCCAGAAAGCTGAGACCCAAAGCCGGGAAGGGGCTCGGCCAAGGCCGGGCTCACCGGGGCCACCCCAGCGTGATGACTGGTTCAGGGGTTTTCCACATGGGTTTGTCCCAGCCTGGTAGAATCTGCAGACTCTTTCAGAAGGCAGTGTCCGACTCCCCGGATCCACACTGGCAGAGCCTCGGGATCGAAGTTCAGCGGCTCGGCTCTCGCCGGGAGGTGCGATGACGGGGCCCGCAGTGCCGGCGGCGGCCGCGTCCCCCGCTTAAGACGGGAGCTCTAAAGCCACGGCCCCCGCCTGAGCCTCCTGGAGCTCATAGTCCCTCAAATGCCATGCAGGTTTCTGAATGTTTCCGTGTGCTGAACGTTTTTCTGGAAAAGGGTTCACAGCTTTAATTGATTTACAAAGAGATGTACAACACGGAAGAGATTGAGAACCGTTTCCTTAAAGCAGCAAGAATCTAGGCTCTGGAGAAATCAGATTTTAGGAATCAGCTGCTAGGCACCTTAGCGGCATTCAGAGACATGAAAGGATTGGATTGTTTCCTAAATTTAAGAGTGTGTGTTTTGCAACATGAAAGCACTTCCATGCTCTAGAATGTAAGTTCTTGAGGACAGGGCTCTAGTCTATTTGTTCACCTAAGGAATCCTTAGATCCGGGATCAGTGCCTGTGTGTAATCACAGGTGCAAACACACATGTAATTAATTTACTGGTCTGCACAGCCCTTCTCTTCCCTTGCCCACTCCTACCTGGTCTCCAGCAGTCCTGAGAATTACCACCATTTGGGAAACCCTGATGCAAGAATTGCAAGAATGTCTTTGTAATTCGATGTTGACATTCAGGACCTTTTTTGTCTCCTGTTAAAGACTGATCACGCTGGGGAGATCGGGCAATCCAGCCAAACCCCAAGTCCCAAACAAATGCAGTATGTGTTGAACCCCACCACTGCCCAGCACCTTTGGGAAGCCCATTGCTTTCTATGCAGACGCAGAGCTCCCAGAAAGCACAGGTGGATGTGCTCAGCTTGCCTTATGACGTGAATGCCCGAAAACAGAACAGGACTAAAAATTCACTGTCGGAGAGCCTGCAGCTTGGGAGCCTGAGTTCTCAGGGACAAGAAGAGTTGCTGGTGTGGCAAGGACCAAGCGGACTAGCCTTAGGCCAGGCTCTGGTTCCTCCCTTCTTGATGGATTCCCTTTGATCTTCCCCTCCTGCCCCACTTTGCAGCCTCCACAGCTCAGCTGCTAAATCACTGGGGATTAAGACGCTGGGGGCAGGAGGGGAGGGCAGCTCGTCCTGGGACAGAAGGGGCTCCTTTCCTGGGAGGGGTGGGAGGAAGCTGGGGTTCTCAGGGCCCCTGGCTGGGCCAGCTTTCCAGCCCTCCCCCACCACTCGCCCCCATTGGCTGAACCCCCCGTGGACAGGCAAGCTGGGAGAAGCAGTTGTGCAAGCTGCTGCTTCTGTCTGGGACTAAAAATAGTCTCCTCTCCACCTATGTCCAGCTCAGGCTGGGCCAGAGCTCCAAAGAGCACTCATGGGTGGTGGGGGGGACAGAAGGTGGGGCCAGAGAAAAGTCCCCCCATGGGCACTCATCGGTGGTGGGGGGGACAGAAGGTGGGGCCAGAGAAAAGTCCCCCCATGGGCAAAGACCAAGTGAGACGGGGGCAGGGAAAGTAGGGCTTGGCCTGCCTCTCAGGCCTGATCTCTTTCACCCTAGAAACTCCCTTAAAAAGGAAATAGTTTCTCATCCCTGTGTTTCTGAGAGGAAAAGGAGACACAGAAAGGCTGGGCAGGCTGAAAACAGAACAGGACTGAAAATTCACGTCTGAGAGCCTGAAGGTTGGGAGCCTGAGTTCTCAGGCACAAGAAGAGAATTCCCGGTGTGGCAAGGAGCAGGCAGACTAGCCTTAGGCCGGGCTCTAGTTAGATACTGTCACATTTATGAAGCGCTTGCCAGAGTGTTTTAAGCTCTGTGGGTATCAAAGGACCCCATGATATAGGTATTATTATTATTCCCTTTGACAGTGGAAGAGATGAAGGCCCAGAGGCACGAACTCCCAGGGCCATAGAACAGGAGCTGGATTCTACCTGGAGCAGCCTGGGTGCAGGACCCATGCCCCCAACCGTGGCCACGGCCGAGACCCACCCAAGACAGGGCACAAAGGGGAAGTAAGAAGCCAGGGGTGCCGTGCCGGAGGGCAGCCCCGAGTGAGACCGGCATCGTGGCCAAGGGTCCCCCTTCTGGAAGAGCTCTCGTCACAACCTTGGACACACCACAGGGGCCTAGACCCCAGGCCCCTCGAGCCCCTCCCTCAGATCGGCTTCTAATTTTAGGTGAATCCTCTCCAGCCACCACATGCACCCTTGCGTGCCTGTATGTTGTCGTCTTCTGAAAAGGTGCAGGACCGTGATGCCCGGCTGACTCGCAGGGTGCAGGAGCCCCAGAGGCCAGAGGAGCAGGAGAGCAGGGCCGGGGCCACCTGAGGGCCTGTGGAGCCTGAGTTGTTGAAACGCTCAGATTAAAGCAGATTTCGATTTCACAAAGACAGGGGTGAAGGTGGGGGAAGATGGAGGGAAAGATTGAAAGAGAAAGAGACAAGGTAGGAAGGAGGGAGAAAGGGGAAAAGAGAAAGAGAGTCACTGAAGACCACAGCAGACAGGCCTCTCAACTCAAGGAGCCAAGGCAGGGAGGGCCAGTTGGAGCAGCAATGGAGACAAGAGCTCAGGAGCTCAGGCGGGCAGGGCCAGAGACCTCGCTTCAGCAAGAGTGTGGGCAACAGAGGCCAAAGGGGGCCAAGCAGCCCGGGACGGCAGGGTGCTCATATGCACAGCCTTGATCCTATCTCCTCTCCCATTGCCTCTTTTGAGCTCACCTTGTTTAAGGCCAAAGCACACACCATCCCCCCACAGAGCCACTAATGCAATTAACAAAACACATTCATAAATCTTGCATGGCGTCCGGAGCTGTCTCCTCTCCCTGAGCGCGAGGGCCAGCTCCGGAGATGCTGTGCAGAGAGCAGTCTGACCTCTCCTGCGTCAGGGCCCCCTGAAACATGCAGCATAACCCTTAGTAGGACAGCAAGGCCATCCTCTTCCTGGCAACCCCCATTAAAAAAGTAGAGCAGGACTGAGCTTAGGGAATACAGAGAAATCAGAAGAGGCCTAAAAGGGGGAGATGAAAGCGCATATGTGTTTGCAGGGGGCTGGGGAATAGTTCGTGCCTTCCAAGCTCAAAGAGAGAGCATTCAGGCTGGGCGCGGTGGCTCAAGCCTGTAATCCCAGCACTTTGGGAGGCCGAGGCGGGTGGATCACGAGGTCGAGAGATCGAGACCATCCTGGTCAACATGGTGAAACCCCGTCTCTACTAAAAATACAAAAAAATTAGCTGGGCATGGTGGCGCGTGCCTGTAATCCCAGCTACTCAGGAGGCTGAGGCAGGAGAATTGCCTGAACCCGGGAGGCGGAGGTTGCGGTGAGCCGAGATCGTGCCATTGCACTCCAGCCTGGGTAACAAGAGCGAAACTCCGTCTCAAAAGAAAAAAAAAAAAAAAAAGAGAGAGAGAGCATTCAGCAGAGACAAGAGAAGCACCCCCTTTGGTGGGTGACTTCACCTTGTAAGGACAGAACACAGGGTGCGTGAGCCCAGGGCGTCTTGGGCAATGCAGCCGTGGCTTGGCGGCACGTCGGTGTTTGTGTTTGCGTGTGTGCGTGCGTGCATGCATGCATGTTCAGTCTGGAAAAGTGGTGACTCACTAAAACAGGGAGCTTTCTGATCTGAAGAGCTTATATTCAGCTATTTTTAGCTCATCTTGTCTCTTGGCCCTTTTTTTCCCCTTGTCTGTTTGGAAATGTAGAGGAGTCTGGAGACCATGAATGCTGTGTGTGTATCTGCTAATTTAAGGCTTGGGCGCAGAGGTGGGGACCCCAAAAGTGCAGAGATAAAAGCACACATGAGGTGGATGTGTGTACAGCACATGGACACAGACAGGGTACACATGCTCTTATTCCAGCATGTACATAAGCACACCATGCATACATGCAAGTGACAGTAAGGCCAGAAACTCTGCATCCCTGGAAACTCCGGCCTACACTCTCTCTTCACGTGGGTTGGTGTACAGCTACCCGCTGTGCACACTTCATAAGCAGAACTGCCTCCCCATCCCAGCCTGGCCTCACACAACCCAGGTGGGCACACTCCGGTGAGCACATGGCCAGGCACAGTCTGGGCCTACCTTGGAGAGTGGCCCCAGCCCCTGTGCCTTGTTTATTCTCTGTCCAGCCACTCATCCAAAAAGTATGACTTCTAGGGAAGGCCCTTCTCTGCTGATTGCCAATAGAAATAAGAAGTGCCGGCTTCCGCATTCCACTTCTCCTGGGACTCATTCAGCCGATCCCACCCATCCACCACCATTGGCTCACACTGCCTCCCCGGTCCAGCAGCCATCTGGCTATGTGGGGTCTGGCAACTACTTGGAAAGGCCAGGCAGGGTTCAAATGCTGTGAGAGCTCCATTCCTCCAGCCTGGAAAGAGGGAGAAGGGAGAGTGAGCTCAGATTGCCGTCTGCCTAAGTTCAACGTGGAGCAGGCAGGGAGCGGACTACACTCTTCAAGATTCTAGAAAGCCGGTGGGTTCCTGGACCTTGACTCTGTGTCGACGGGACTGTGTATGCAACCCAGTGTCACAGGACAGAAATGTGTGAACGCTGCCTATGACCAGTGCCTCCGTGATGCTGCACGCCTGGGAAAGAGCACTCACAGCCTCCCTTTCCACACGGCACACAGGCTGTGCACTCAGCCACAGCGGCACGTGCCTGCACGCACATACTCTTAGAAGCCTGCGTGAGAGAGAACATAAGCCTTCGTTACTCCGGGCACCAAAGCAAGCTTGAGTCTGCATTTTGTGCACGGCGCACAGGCCCCAGTCAGGGGGGCCAAAACGTAGCCATGTGTTGCTCCTTAAGCTGAGGGGGCTACATCAGCCCAGAGGAGGGGCCCTGAGTCTTCCTTGCCTGCCGGGAGGCCCTGTGGCTCCTGCTGTCCGGGGGCTCAGCATCAGCTCCTGGAGGAGTCACTACCTGCCGACTGCCCGACTGCATTCCACTCCACACACATTTGGGGGTCCAGTGCTCTGTGCAAAGCACCCCATGTTGTCATTATGAAGGAGGGCCCGCTGGAGTCGGCACCCCAGACCGCTGCTCCAAGATAGGCTAGCACAGAAGATGCCTGCACGATTAGCCATGGCAGAACGCGCCACCCAGGCGGAGCGTGGGCATGAGCTGCACAGGAGGGATAATTCTCTCTTCCTCCTGGGGCCTGGGATCCTTCACAGAGAACAGGACAGGGGGCTTTTTGCCTGGGCTCTGAATAATGAATCGATCTCCCCAGGTCAAAGAGGAACGTCTCAGGTAGGAAACTGGCCTGTGTGAAGGAGTGGTATTGGGAAGCATGGACAGGGACTCGCGGGGAGAAATCAGACCTTGCCAGAAACGAAGCAGAGCTCAAGCCTGCCTGACTTGCCTCCGGCTCTGTGGCTCTGGCCTCAGGGAGAAGCAATTTTGAATTGTCTACTTCTCTTCTTACCCCACATGGAAGGAAAAAGTCTTTGCATCTTGAAAGATCTGGACCCCTTCTGCCTCTGAGCATCTATCTGTAAGACGGAGATTCTAATAGGGCCTTCCCTATAGAGATATTTTGAAGATTAAATGAGAGACCTCATGAAAAGCTGTTAGCACAGAGCTGAGTAAATAGGCATTGTCGTTAGTTATTATTATCCTATTTTATAGGCCACCACACTGATTCTTAACCAATTTTGAGGTCCTTTGGCAATATCTGGGGACAGGTTTGGTTGTCACAACTTGCAGGAGTAGGAAGGAGGCTACTCCCGGCCCCCGGCGGGTAGGGCCAGCATGCTACTAAGCACCCACCATGCACAGGGCAGCCCCCACAGCAGAGCAGAGCCCACCCAGAATGCAGAGAACACAGAGGCTGAAGAGCCTGGGCTGGGGGGGTTTCACCTTCTGAAGACAGTGAGGTGACTGATTTTCAAGCAGGGAATGACATAAGAAAATCTAAGTTTCCGAAAGAGAAACCTGGCGCAGTTGCGACATGACCAGTCAGCTCAGTGGACACACTGCCAGCCTTCGGATGAGACTCGGGGGAGGAGGGCTGGGTCCTCGGCAAGCTGGGGAGACTGCACTTCCAGGGTCTTGGCACGAAGAGAGCCGGAGAACCTGCTGAGGGCTAGAGGAAGGAGGGGACAGGCCTGGGGTCACTGGGGTCCCTACAGTTTCCAGCTCTTGGGCTGGGCAGGTTGTAATGCCGCCTCTCAATGGCATGGGAAGAGAAGACTCCATTTGGAAACTGTATCCTCCAGGGCCCTCCGTGGGGCAAGCACCTCCACCAAGCTGTATGTGAGCCATGGCCCTCCAGTCCATCTGTCCCCCTCAAGGGGGGACCACCCTTCAAGAGACCCTCACCCTGCCCGTCAGTGCCCAACAGATACCTCTCCTTTCCCACACAGCTCCCTCTGAATGACGGCCAGTGAGGCCCTGCAAGACAGCCTCGCAAGGACGCCAAGCCACCGAACTGCAGGATGAAGATGATCTTTCTAGGCTCCTGATGTCCAGGCCCTGTCTCGTCTTGCAACGTGTTCTGAGTCCCTGCGGCTGCTGTGGGCACAGAGGAAGTACTGCGGAAGTCCTGGCAGACTTATCGGCAGAGAGACTGAGGCTCCATGCCACCCCAATTCCCTCTGCCCTTTTGACTGAGCTCTGAAGACGAGTTAGAAGAGCTGGGGAAAAGCTCCAAGCAGTCAACACATCAGCCGGTGAGCATGTGTCACGTCCTGTCTCAGGCTCAGTGCTGGGGAGGACATCCCCACAAACATCCCAGCTCGAATTCTCTGGTTGGGAAGGCAAGACTCACAGGCAAAGAACAATCAAAAAACAATTAAAGAGACCTCTGGCGTCGTCTGAGGAGCCCTGGATAGAAGTTAAACTAGAGTTCTATCCACAGGCCTCGGCCTGGAGGCAGGTCCCTGTGCCTGCACAAGCTCGAGCCACACCAAGTTATAGCTGAAGTCTCATCGCCTGGACTGTGAATGGCAGCGGTGCTTCCAACCAGTGGGTACTGACTCCTGGAGCACCGTGCTGAGGAGGACTCTGAAGCAGCAGCAGGCTTAGCAGGACTGTGGTGGCCAACTGGTGAGGCCCATGGTAGGTGCTGCCAGGATGTCACCGGGAGGTACCTCCAGCTTTTTTTTTTTTTTTTTTTTTTTTTTTTTTTGAGACAGAATCTCACTCCATCACCATGTGCCAGGCTGCAGTGCAGTGGTGCGATCTCGGCTCACTGCAAACTCCGCCCCCAGGGTTCAAGCAATTCTCCTGCCTCAGCCTCCCGAGTAGCTGGGACTACAGGTGCACGCCACCACACCCAGCTAATTTTTGTATTTTTAGTAGAGATGGGTTTCACCATGTTGGCCAGGATAGTCTCGATCTCTTGACCTTGTGATCCACCTGCCTCAGCTTCCCA